AGGAACAGAATACAACCTATAAAACACTACACTGGACAAAGAAGTGAAGAAGAGTGCGTGCAAACACAAAAGACACTTCTACGAAACACTAGCAAGTGAAGCAGAACAGGCTACAGTTAGGAGAGACAGAGACCTGACAACATTGTATCAAATAACCAGGTTTCTATCTGTGAGGGAAGAGATCAACACACATGAAACCAATAAAAGATCATAAAGGAAATCTAATTACCAAAGAAGAGAAACAAAGGAAACAATAGGCCGACCACTTCAAAAAGCCCTTCAATCGACCACCACCTGCACTTCGTCCACAAATACCACCTGCAGTCACAGAACTACAAGTGAACATAAATCCTCCAACAAAAGTCGAAGTCCTGAACGCCATAAAGCTACTGAAATGTGGGAAAACAGCAGCACCAGATGGAATCCAGCCAGAAGCACTAAGAACAGACGCAGAGACAACAGCGGACATCCCCACACCACTATTGCAGAAGGTTTGGAAGAAAGGAGGGAAAGGTACCTGCCCAGTGATCGAGAGAAGGGCTACCTTGTCAAACTACCAAACAAGGGAGACCTAAGTCTTTGCAACAACTGGTGAGGAATCACCCTCCTGTCCACCCCAAGCAAAATATTAAGCCACATCATTCTGGAGAGACTAAAACATGCGCTGGATTCAAAACCACGACCGGAACAGGTTAGCTGGATTCAGGAAAAACAATTCATGTACGGATCAAATTGCAAGGCTTCGCATCATCATAGAACAGAGTATAGAATGACAGTCAACCCTCTACCTCAACTTCATCGACTTTGAAGAGGCCTTTGACAGCGTCGACCGATAAGTAATTTGGAAACTGCTATTTCAACACTACGGAATACCACAAACCTTTATCAACCTCATTCAACAACTTTATATGAAGACGCCACATCCCAAGTAATTCACAATGGAAAGCTCAGTGATTCCTTGGAGTGAAGACAGGAATAAGACAACGTTGCCGCTTACTATCACCCATGATATTCCTGATTGTGGTCGACTGGACTGGATCATGAAACAAACTGTGAGGAGCAAGAAGAGGGGGATACGCTGGACCACGGAAAAGAACCTAGAAGATTTGGATTTCGCCGATGACTTGTGCCTGACGTCGCACAAACTTGAAGATCTATAGGCAAAAACTAACAAGTTGACAGAAGAGGCGTGGCAGCGAAGATGGGACTTCAAGAGAATATAGAGAAGACAGAGGTGATGAAGATACCCAACCAGCAACAATAGCAACAACAAGCTCCAATCACCATCAACGGGAGAAACCTAAAGGAAGTAGCCTCCTTCACCTATCTAGGAAGCACTGTTTCAACTACAGGTGGCGGTACAGACGAGGACGTCAAAGTCAGGACCCGAAAAGCAAGACGGCCGTTCATTAGCCTGAAACCAGTGTGGAGATCTTCTGCACTCAGTATCTGGAACAAGATGCGGATTTTCAACACAAACGTCAAGTCAGTGCTCCTGTATGGTTCAGAGACGAAAGGCATTGCCAACAAATTACAGACATTCATCAACAACTGTCTACGCTCGTTACTGAAGATTAGATGGCCAGAAAGAATAAGCAACAAGGAACTCTGGCCTGCCAATGAACAAACCAAGAACCTATCGCTCAACAAATATGCACTGGAAGGAAGTGGAGATGGATTGGCATACACTGAGAAGGCCGACTGGGGACATCACGCGTCAGGCTCTCGAGTGGAACCCCCCATGGGAAGCGACGAGTTGGGTGTCCGAGGATGACACGGAGGAGATCGTGCAAGGAGGAAATGAGAGCTTCTGGGCTGTCGTGGAGCCAGGTTCAAAAGATTGCAGAGAACAGAGCGCATTGGAGACGTGCTACTGAAGCCCTATGTTCCATTGGGAACTCAACGGACAAATAATAATAATAATAATACAATAATGGACATCTCTTGCTTTGTCTGCAGCATGTTTGAACAATGGTAACAAGTTTATCCAAGTACACCCAAGTCTGCATGTAAATCAATGCAGAAAAACCATAATCAGAAGAATGTTTCAAGCGCAAGTCGATGGTGATGGCAGGACTTCAAAGAGGAACCAAATAAGAAGTTAGAAGTACAGGACATCATGCAATGGCCATGAGTGGTGATGAACATCAAAAGCTGGAGAGATGACGGCAGCTACGATAGGCAACATTAGACAGTCATTTAGACTCATCAAGAAAAGTGGAATAGAAACTCTATGGCTAGTGAAATTATTGCAGAGAAGGATGGGTTTGCTGTTCACTCATAGGGGAGACGAGTGGAACGATGGGTGGAAAACTCTGACGAACAGTTCAACTGAAATTCGGTTACTCTACAGTTGCTGATTAGAACATTGAAAATGGGTGTCCAACTCCTGTGGAAGCTGAGAAGGATGTATGCCACCTGGAACGAGGAAGGATAGCAGACCGAAATGGGCTATCACGAGAGATATTTATATTGACAGTGTTAGAGGACTATTGGTTAGATTGATTGAAATGCTAGCTGGTGTGTCGGAATCAGTTATGATCACCCCTGACTGATCTCAATCGGTGACGTTCTCAGTCCTCAAGAAAGGAGAGAAATTCTTTAGCGATAACAGCGGTGGGTGGGTAGGGTGATCAGTCTGACTAGCATACTATATAAGGTCCTAGGTTCTGCGACGTTAAGTTACCTAAGTAAAGCTCGGCTACAGGAGGCGCATGAAAACTAGATAGATTTCAGACATTGCTGTGGGTGTGTTATCCGGATCTGACAGTGGGGATTAAAGTGGTTGACCACATTGAGTAATTCACTTACGGGGAAAGTTGGATCAACCCTGATAGAATAATTTTTGACGAAATCTTTGCACGCATTAAAATGGCTCGATTTTCATACCAGATTAGGCACCTTTTGGCACTGGAGTAATAACTGACTGTCGATTGAGAATCGAATGAACTACACAGCACTTCTGAGTCCTATTACTTGCTTGTGAAACATGTTCACCATAGGTGTACCTTAGATGTCTTCAGGTGTTTTACCAGAACTTTCTTAGCAGATCTGGTTGTATGGTGGAACCAACACTAGGAAAATAAAGGTTGGATGTAGTTGTAGGCAAAGGATACAAGTCACTTGATTAGGTTATAAACCTACTCAGGTGGCTGGAACATACATAAGCATGCTTTATCACCGTTTATGCCGATGCACAGTTAGCTAAAGTAAGTCCAGGCTAGGAAAAGGTTAATAGCGAACAAGCTAAAATACAGCATTTATCCATGAAGCCTTATACTTTTGGTCTGGGTCGTGTAGGAAAATGTAAAATCCGCGGTGCGATAAACGAAATTGCTGGTTGTAGACTAAAAGTGATTTGGCTCAGAATAATAGACAGTGATGCAGATACAACCACACTTCATTTTCATTGCAGTCACGATGCCGAATTTCATTGTTGTTTCTTTCTTTCTTAAACTCTTTTCAAGGTTCTTGATCATTTTGACTACCTTTTTTACTTCGCCATGTTTCATGTGGGTGCATTCTCGGTAGATATGCTGATATGAACTGTAGGCAAATCGAACCGTCACGCAGTACTTCCAGGTCTCACGTTAATGCTGAGTGACCAGTTTCATTAGTTCTTATTTAAATAAGATGCGATACAATTAACTCACCAGTCATATCGATAATTATCTAGTTGGGCTTTGAAGATACAATCGAGTAGAATCATCACCATCAATATCAACATAGGACCAGGCATTACTGCGTAACGGTCCGAGTTGTCACACCTCATATCAGTACATCAAGTAGAAAGGTAGTGAGGTGAAGGATGAAGGTAAGAAAATTCAGTCAAAAGAAATATAAAGTACGAGGAGAAAGAAAGGAAGAATGACAAAATGGTGAGATTCGGTATGGCGTCGTTAAAATAAGGATAATGTGTGTATACATCTGGGCCACTGACATCGGTTCTGGGCCATATCACCTAGAGTCACCAACCACTGGTTCCTCTTGTCTCGCGGACCCCAACCACCTAGTCTGCGTCGCCCTACATGGCTTAAACCAACAGTCAGAGACTTCATACATTGGTGCCATGTCTTAGTCTGGCCACCTCGAGCCTGGAATCAATTAGTTCATAATGTAGTATTGATCAGTACACGTCACTCGTCTGTTTCGAGCTAAATCCTATCAATTTCAACCTGCCGTAAGACTGCCATTCGACAAAATCCCAGTCAGACATACAGGTTTCATAACGGCAGAAGGGTTTTAACACGTTTTCTCGAATCCTCGGTCACAATAAAGAACTACGAATAGTATAATTCCCGCAAAACGGCACAACAATAAGAATAACAAATCTGGGAGCTGATAGTCTGGGTGCTTGTGAAAGGATGCGAGTGAACAGGTAAAGGGGGGTAGTTGCGCTCAAAGGCAATTATATTGATCCCGCAGTCAGTTTGTTATTAAACCCACCAAAAAAGTCTCGACCACATGATCGTCTCATGGCCCCATTTTTGAGGTATTCGACCTCAGTGAACATCAGTTACTACGTTGACCAGCTTACACTGCGGAAAATATGCAGCATCCTCACATCTCACCGCGATTTCTGTAGAACAGGGTATGGAGAGTCAATGTTGTTCAAATGAACAAGGAAAACAACAATACCATTAGGTTCCGTGGACAGTTACCTAAGGAGTTGAAAACGATCTACTTAATTTCACAATGGTATAAACAAGGTGTTGGCTTATCAGACAAGCTACCATCACAATAATACGTAATAACCAAATATTTTAACACAGGGGAGGATAAACCGACAGGTAGCTCCAAACATAGATATACTTCCTGGCCTTTCAGACATTTCCATACAGTACCGTTTACAGAGAATATCAGATGGACTGGCTATTACTTTACAGGTTCATAGCACGACCCCAAAAATAAAACTACATCTACAAAAAGTAGCGGTGTAGTGTGAAAAAAGGTGTGAGGAATAACTGACACTCGACCCCAAGAAACTAGTCAGACAGTACCTCGAATAGACTTCATATGGCTCACAGCCATCCTCAGGATTGTAAGTTTGTCAGGCTTCCTCGCAAGTGAACTACAAGTTGGTACCATTTCACATAGTTCATTTATGTAAGCAGTCATTTTGTTTCTTCTTCGTCTTTCTATCTCACAGTGACTTTCCCTAAGCGATTCGTATAACAAAGTAAGATAGTTACCTGGCGTACCGTTCCTTATCTTGTTGATCACCACCACCCTCATGTTTGCAGGCGGATAATCTGGAGGTTGTTACTTCAAACATACTAGAAAAAACAAATACTGGTAAGAGATATTAAACTTACTCTCTGTCGCTTCCCCCATCACTGTCCCGGGAAAAATCTGAGGTCAAGTTTTCTACCCTATATTAAAGAAAATCATCAATATCACCACCAGATAGAGCATTATAAAGTCACTTTAGCTAGCTTTGTGACACTTACATATCCATCTTCTACAGATGGTACAAACATAGCATTATTTTGCGTAAGATATTTCCAAAACGTAGCGCAACACAGTCTTCATAGCACCCGCCGAATATGTATACACATCTTTAAACCAACATCCCAGTGATGACAGCTAAATCAGCTAAAAAGCTTTCAAGCTCTGTGTTTACTTTCTACGTGGATAACAACCAGTCAAAGTGGTCGTCATTAGTGAAAAAAACAGGGGCTTCATTGAGCACACTCAACAAACACGGGGTTTCATTCCTCGACTGGAAGCATATGGTTCAGATGATTGTTGAAGGAATGAAAGGAGGTTTTTCCCAATTTTACTTCCGCGTCTGGAATCGATGGATCACTAGTTTTAGTGGTCAGTAATCCGTGTACAAACATAGAGCATTAGAAACTGGCTATTAAAATGGGAAATCTAAATTAGCTTTGAGTAAGTTCTCATCCAAATCTTAAGTATGTCTCAGGTCAGCATTTAAGAGATTTGGGAGAAGTAGCCCCGATCGTCTTCGCAGGGAAAGAGTTCACGGATTTTTCATGAAGGAGTTGTGCTTGATATCTAACCTTCTGTGTCCTGGGCTTAGTTTCTTCGTGTTTCCTCTAAGATTAACTATGTGACCGGTTACGTGTTGAGGAGTGTTAGGGGGTATTGTAAGCCGCGATTCAATCCACCGTTCATCTTCTAAGTTCCTGGGAACATAAATCAGGCTTAACCAATCGTTCTTCAAACCTCCCGGACGCAAGTCGACTGCATTTGGATGTTTACTGAACAAAGTTGACGAGTTGCGGACCTGGTAGGGGGGTGCGGTAGCACTTTGCGTCAGCTCCTCTCTCTCAGCCCACCAAATCCACACCCAGGAACTGCAATTCCCTGAAGAGTCCGTTTTGTGTATAATAAAGCTGTCCGAGACTACAAAGTGCTTGGTGAGAGTCATTTACAGAAAGCCGTCTGCAGACTTACAGTATGACAACCAGATGCTAGCGGCAATCAGTTGCTCTCTTAAACTGCGGCACCCACACACTGAGTTTAAAAGACTTTAATCTGCCGAAGGTCGACTTTGCAGATCGCACGTTTAGCGGAAGCGACGATTCCATTGAAGCCAGATTCTCCCACCTGATTGAGGGGCTGGGGCTTGCGGAAAATGTGAGAAGGGTAACGCGAGTTATGGAGGCTCAAACCCTATCTCTCTTAGACTGCGTCTTCACAAATGGAGAATTCCTGGTCAACAACTTAGCAATCCTACCTCCTTTGGGCAGTAGTGACCACGTTGTCATCGGCTTCCAATTTGTTTGCAAAACCAATCTAACCAGACCTTTCAACGAACATCGTTGGAACTTCAGACGACTCAACGCTCCGGCTCTTCTAACCGCACTGGAACAGACAGATTGGGAAGTTAGCTATGAATGGCAAGATATGAACACCCACTGGAAACTCATACTTGACAAGATCACGCGTGCGATCAGTCAGTCTGTTCCACTTTCGAGGCCGAGGTGCCTCAAGTTACCTAAGGTAATGAGGAACCACACTCGCAAACTACTTAAGTTAAAGAGACATCAGTGGGCTGAACACAAAAGGATTGGCACCGGATGTACCCACAGGCAATTCAAACAGACAAGAAACATGTGCATGAAGGTTTTGAGAGCCGATCGACAGCGGCATCAAGTCAGCCTCACAAACATGTTTGTGTCTAACGCGAAAAGTCTCTTCCGCTACGCTGCTTCATTCCGGCCGGCTAAAGCGGGAGTCACCCAACTACTAGGTGCGAACGGACTGGCTAATGGCGACACTGAAGCAGCTAAGCTCTTAGCCGACCAGTATCTGCAAGCCTTTTTGTCATCATCCACCTACACAAGAGCTTACAAATATCCCACTAACGAAGTAGGACTCAAAGTGGTCGACCTAAGGATTGAGCTAGTACAGCGCAAACTGTTACTGCTCACTAGAGACACCTCTTCGGGACCAGACAAAATCCATCCAGTGGTACTACGAGAGGGAGCCTCAATCTCGTCCGAACCCTTAAGTAAGTTACTTAAGAGTTCTCTGAGTCAGGGCCTTATAATGCCAATCTCCAAAGGGGGTCAACGAAACAATCCAAAGAAGTACAGACCGGTGACACTTCTATCAGTTCCTTCCAAAGTAATGGAATCGTTGATTTACGGTGGACTGAGGGATAACCTCACAGAGATAAATTTCTTTGTGCCCCAACAACATGAATTTCGAAAGGGAGACTCCTGAATTACTAATTTGCTCACTGAAGTAGATAGATGGACTAGCATTGTTGACCGTCGAGGACAAATTGACGTTACCTACCTAGACTTCGCTAAGGCGTTTGATCGTGTTAATCACGACTGTCTTATTGATAAACTAAATAAATTAGGATTCGATTTCCGCCCAGTGACTGGTTGTCCTCATATTTACGGGCCCGTTCATCTAGAGTTCGGGTGAGTTTCTCTGTATCTGAAGAAAGGGAATTTACCAGGGGTATCCCCCAAGGTTCAGTACTAGGGCCCCTCCTTTTTCTAGTTTACATAAACGACTTACCTCAACAGGTCTCTTCCGGACTCCTTCTTTTTGCCGATGAGGTGAAACTCTGGAGGGAAAACAAAAGTGAAGACAGTGTTTCTCCACAGGAAGACTTGACTCAGCTTCACAGTTGGCCAGTCAACAATGGGCTTGCATTCAATCCTGAGAAATATGAGGTAACACACGTAAAACATGATGCATCTCGTGTATATAGCCTCAACGGCATAGAACTTGAAGCGTCACCGACGGAAAGGGATTTGGGCATGTTGGTCCCCCCGGACTTAAAATCCTATGCCAACTGTGACAGAAACGCACTTCGTGGGAACTTGGCTTTAGTAACTCTTGGACGAATTTTCGGCGATTCGGTCGTAGATGTATCCACCAAAGTTTTAACAGCTTCATACGGCCTCACGTGGGGTTCGGAACCATCGTCTTCCCCCCTTATTTCCAGAAGGACAAGCTGAGCTTGGAGCGTATCCAGAGGCGTTCGACAAAATCTATTCAAGGACTTAGGTCGAAAACATACGAAGAACGGCTGATTGCGCTGGATCTATGTCCTCTGGAATACAGAAGGCTAAGGGGTGACTTTACAATGACTTACAACATTCTGAGCACGCCTGGCCACCCACCCCGTCAATTATTATATCTTAGCTGTGACGCCAATCTTAGAGGACATGCACAGAAACTTAGCCTGGAACATAGCAGGCTGGATGTCAGGCACAACTTCTGTTCCCTAAGAGTTGTTAAACCCTGGAACGCCCTTCCTGAAGATGTGATCCAGGCTACTTCGTCTGAATCTTCTAAACGCCGACTGGATACCCCCTTGGTGCGTATCTGGGATATACCCAGAATTAAAGGAGTTTTCACATTTTAATCACCACTTTTTCACCTTTCTTTACTTGTGCAACAGGTCAACAGCTAGAAGGAGTAGTGATCCACAGATAGCAGAGGCAGAAGCCAGTCAGGCGAAAGCTTTCTCTATTCCGTCAGCAGTCATTTGAACCATTTAACCATTTCTAGGCCTAGTTCATCCCTCTGCAGAGAGGGGTGGGGCTACAGTTTCGAACTCCAAGTGAAGCCACATGAAGCTGTTAAAAAGTAGGTGGAAACATTAATGATGGGGTCAAATTTTAACTTGTGGTGTAACGTCTAAATCTGACATTACGGCAGTGAAATTTACCACCCATAAAGTCTAAGTTTGCTTCATTGGACTGTGGCTTTCAAACAGGGCTGCTGTCGGCATTTGTACAATCTAAGAAATACGAATATGCTCGAGGTTTACAAAACGTTGAATAATTAAGAATTATAGACCACTAATTTGTCCGGTGTGGTGTGATTTCAATTCCCTCCTACGAATATACTGAGATTCATCGATTAATTACAGGTACCTAGTGGCGTGCCGATGTTACAAGCCTATAAGAGATAAAACAGAGCACATATTTCATGCTTAACGTTTTGATTAACTTAGCAGTGACCTTGTAATATAAATTTTGTGGAACTGTACATATGCCAAACAGTCAAACTCCCTCCTGAATTCAAGTTTCTTGCCAATAAAAAGCTCTGGTTTTACTGCCCATTCTCTCTTGATTTTACACCGTCCGATGCAGGCTTAATAGCAGTGTTTGCCACAGTAAGAAAAGTGCCAGCGTTTCGCGGATAATATATCGAAACCGGAGTTAGGTAAGGGGCCCAACGAACTGAACTTATGTAGTCAAATCATTTACCACGGAAAGTGTCAGGATCTTAAGCATAAGTGGTCTTCTAGGTACGTCAAATTTGGCACTGGACAAACTCGGCTGAGCTGAGTAGGAAATTCTAGTAACACGTGAATACTAAGGATGACAGATGCTTTAATTTCAGATGTACATTGAGGATAAGGAGAACGAAACAACAACCATCATATAGTGCTTGAATGACCTACAAGTATATTTCCATGGTGTCAACAAATAGTCATGATTTTTACGCGCACTGATGGAGATTTTACCAATAAAGTTTGCAAAGTTGTTCTGTTTGCCCACTTTGGATAGGAAGAGCAACTATTCAACACTGATCAATTGGGCCCGATTCTGAGGTTTTCGAAATAAAACCACTTTTTTTCTAGGTCTTCTCAAAAGCCAATTTTGAACCCCTGTAAAACTCAGGAGGCTTAGCATCAGAGGAGTTCAAACAGTTTCGCAACCTGTATAACAAACTAATCTTGAAGTCAAGTATTTTGTTGCTCCACAAAAAACAGATTGCATTTCTCCTTTAGAACAAATTGAGGAATAAGCAACCAAGATACCGATTGGTCTTAAAAGATTAATAACTCGTGGTGTCCAAATTAGGGCACATCTCAAAAGCGTTCCAAGCCGAACAATCAGGGAAGATGTGATACTTGTATGTCATCGCAGAAGGCCATTTTCGCCCTAAAAGATATCTACTAAATTTCCACCCGGCATGTTATCTAAACGATTCCTCAGGATTGTGCACAGTGCG